AAGTTATTGTTTATTATTGATTCAAGTCGTTAGTGAGTGAGATTGTACCTCATGACTCTGAATACGTCGTCTCCATCTCTGTTATTTTAGCTTGATCTCCAGTTCTCTCATTTTTCTTATTGCACTAGTCGTAGGTATACTGAAACAATGTTGGATGATAACTCGTTTGTTGAGGAAGCGGCCTACAGTGATTATGAGAATGAATGCAATAACCCTTTCGATACTAGTGCAGTACACACAGAAGGAGTGGATGGTTTGGATGAAGAGCGCAATGCTTAAGTCGAAATCGCAATACAAGTTATTTTCTATAATGACTTTAGCATATATTCCTAAGGCCAATATATTTATAATTACCACAGGTTTTGTTGTGTATAGTGCTGAATTAATTAAGAGACTTCGAGAGAACGTCTGCTGCTAGAAAAACAAAGAATGCAGCTGAAGAAGATTACTCAGATAACCGACGAACAAATAAAGGGCAGTTTACATGTTCCGGAGAAACGTATGAAATTCGTCAAGTTTATACGATGTTCGACATGACTGAGACGATGTAATTGTGCTGATCTGTTCTTGTATACTTGCTTGTTGCTCCCCAAACTTAATTAGTCGAGGAAGAACAAACTATTTGAAAAGTATGAGGGGCATGTTGAACAGGACGAAGTATTTTCTGCCACTTCTGATGAAGAACGCCCATCCACCTCAGCTGGTCCGAGTCACAGGGAAGTTATAGGGATGGAGGTAAAGAGAGACGGAGGTAAAGAGAGGCAGCCACGATCTGGTGGTCACCAACATCAGCGAAAAACGAAAATCTTCGCCTAGTGGTTATCGTAAGAATACGCATGATGCAAAAAGACGTCCAGAGCATTTGGACCTCCACAAGCATGAGAGAATGATTCTAAGTGCAAAAGGTTAATATTACTGTTTGAATCAAGTGGACACTTACTTTAAAAATGGTTCTAATACTGTACACTCAGTGACACAGCCTTAAGTTTGTCTCGAAGTATTTCGCTTTAACAAATAATTATTGCCAATTCTGATCGCAATTTAAAAATAAATAATAAAATAAAATTCTTATTCAAGAAAATTGCCAAAACTGATAAGAATAAACACAAATGGATATTATTACTTTCATAGTGAAATAGGTTTAAAATGACCCTTATCACGTTAAGAATGGTGCCGATAAAATTTCGTTTATTAATTCGACGTGTATCATGTTTTACAACTTTATTATACAGTATCTAGATAAGTACAAGCATATTGAACCAAAATAAACTGTAAAATTACAAGTTTATTCAAGAGTTTGAGTCACTGAATTATAAGAACAGCGGATAATGATAAATTGACATTGTTTCAAACCCAATTTTTGTCTTCATACCTGCAACTGAATCAAAATGATCTTCCCTACAAGAGATAATCGTAACCTCGGTTTAGGCATATATCCAGCGTACTAGAATATTTACTCTCCTTCTCAAGATGTGATGATGGTACCCCATATTAAAATATCGTTATAACCGCATAAGCAAGAATGTATTAAGGACGTGCGGCGCGGCGAAGAGTACTTGATTTACTAATATTATTAGTACCACGCACCGCGCGTGAATATGTTTAAGTTTCCAACTTGCGTTGTTCTCAAAATACTCGCAGTCTCTATGCTGTAATAAGGCGCTGCAAGCACTCGGTGGCGAGTTGCTTGGGAAAAGTAAATGTGCTTACTATTATATTTTACAGTGGCTGTACTTATGAAACAGGAAAAAGATTACTAATGTGAATACGGTCGAAAAAGTAAAGAGAGAGATACAACATCTCCCCACATATTAAATTGTATGTATTATTAATAAGCTGTTCGCAGCCTGAAGAAATCCATTATTGAACGGTATGACACTTGCTTACGTTAAACAACTTAGTACCAATACGTTTTTATATAATTCTTCAGCAGTATTAGATTCGTCAGTAGAAATAACGTTTGAGTCATTTATTATTATACTATATAAGATTTGCCAGGAGCAACATAGTGAAGATTTATGCCGCTTATATATGAACTTTACTATATTGAAAAGCCGTCGACTTTATTATATCGAGGTTAGACTGTATACCTAACTCAGTTGCACAAAATCTCATACTCATATAATCACTAATGTCAGCGCGAGATAATAAAAATTATGTAATTGCCTTTTTTCAACTCGTACAATTGTGTTGATCAAACACCTTATTTGCATCACAGAAGGTAACGTTCAACGTAGTGTACTTGAGCCTTCGCTCAGAATATCAAACAATAATAACCTAGCCACGGCAAAAAAGCTCGGATCGGAACGTTCAAAGTGGAAGCAGATGTGGTATTTTCTAGTCATATATATATAATTAAATCTATATTATTAATACAATAACCAATTTTTCATATTTTTGGGATAAATAAAATACGCTGTCTTTTTTCTATTCAAAGTTAAGAATAGCATAATTGATGAAAATTTTGACCGCTTTTTAGCAATGATTCAATTTTTTTCCCGATCGTTGCTGATATAGGGATGGAGACGACGTATTCAGAGTCATGAGGTACAATCTCACTCACTAACGACTTGAATCAATAATAAACAATAACTT